CTGATACCCCGTTACTTCCGCAGCATCTTTGAAGGAGGGGCCACAGAGCTCTACTACGTGCTCAAGCACCCCAAGGAGTCCTTCCACAACAACTTTGTCTCTCTGGACTGCGACCAGTGCACCATGGTCACTCAGCATGGCAAGCCCATGTTCACCCAGGTACCTCCAGCCCCCACATGTCTCAGTCTGGCAGATGCTCGCAGTGGTAGTGGTGACATGAAGTGAGGGATGGGCACTGATTTTTGTGGCTGTGTGCTGAGCAGATGGAGCTGTGCTGATGGAGCACTGTAAAGATAGCCTGCCCTTGCAGCATCCCTTGGGCACAGGTCCCCTGTCTCTGAAGGCTCCTGGGTTTGCTTTGTGCTGAGACTCGTGCCAGGCAGTCCCAAGCTAAGGGATGGGTGTCCTGGTGTGCAGGAGCAGTGGGTTCTCAGGGGTCTGGGCTGGGGGAGCAGGGTGGCAGTGCGTGCCTGACTCTGTGTCCTGCCCAGGTGTGCGTGGAGGGGCGGCTCTACCTGGAGTTCATGTTTGATGACATGATGAGGATAAAGACGTGGCATTTCAGCATCCGCCAGCATCGAGAGCTCATCCCCCGCAGCATCCTTGCCATGCATGTGAGTACCGCTCCTCAAAGTGTGGGGCAGGGCTGCTGATCTCCTCCCCCTGCCGCACAGACGGGGCTCCCCCACGCCCCGTTAATTACAGGATGGGGCACAGGGGACAATCCCCAGCTGAGCGCTGTCCCTCTCACCTGTAGGCACAGGACCCCCAGATGCTGGACCAGTTATCCAAGAACATCACACGCTGTGGGCTCTCAAACTCCACACTCAACTACCTCCGAGTACGTGTGCCAGGAGCAGAGCGGGCTGTGCGTCGGGGGTCTGGAAGAGGGGGGAGGATAATGCACAACAGTGGGGCAGCAAGCGTGTGGAGCCCGTGGGCTCTGCATGAGGCTTGGGTTGCCGCGGCACGGCAGAGGGGCTCTTGGCTTTGGCAACGTCTAACCTCGTGCCCGTCTGCTCCCCCAGCTCTGTGTAATCCTAGAACCAATGCAGGAGCTCATGTCACGGCACAAGACCTACAGCCTCAGTCCCCGGGACTGCCTCAAGACCTGCCTGTTCCAGAAGTGGCAGCGGATGGTCGCGCCGCCCGGTGAGTGCCGCTGCCTGCTGGGCTGCGTGGTGCGGGTGGGAGGAGGTGGTGCTGGCAGAAGGGTTGGGGGGCACTCAGCTGCGGCTGACCGACTGCTTCTTCCTCCCGGCCCAGCGGAGCCGGCACGGCAGCAGCCCAGCAAGCGCCGGAAAAGGAAGATGTCAGGGGGCAGCACGATGAGCTCCGGCGGTGGAAACACCAACAACAGCAACAGCAAGAAGAAGAGCCCCGCCAGCACCTTCGCTCTGTCCAGTCAGGTACCTGTAAGCATCCCGTTTCCATTCTCTTTTCCTTCCCCGGGATGGAGGGGTGGGCTCCCAGCCCCTGGAAGTGGCTAAGGGACATCCCCAGGGCTGCTTGTCCGAGGCCCCGGCCCTCCATGGTGACGGGGAAAAGCAGGGGGCAGCCTCAGGTCTCCCTTCCCTCCCCCTGTTCTGCCTCAGCCCTTGCAGAGCGTGAGTAGCAGCCCAGGGACGGAGGCGAGGAGGCAACCCTGAAGCTGAGGAAGGGGCTGCGGTGCCGGGAGGGGGGGGTTTGGCGGCCGGGGCTCCCCCCACCTCGATTATGTTTCGGGACCGTCTCCCCTTTCAGGATGTGATGGTGGTAGGCGAGCCCACGCTGATGGGGGGGGAGTTCGGGGACGAGGACGAGCGGCTCATCACTCGGCTGGAGAATACGCAGTTTGACGCCGCCAACGGCATCGACGACGAGGACAGCTTCAACAACTCGCCCGCGCTGGGGGCCAACAGCCCCTGGAACAGCAAACCGCCCTCCAGCCAGGAGAGCAAGTCAGAGAACCCCACGTCGCAGGCGTCGCAGTAACGGCCCCGCGCCCCCCCCGCGGACTCAGTCCCAACCGATCTACCTGTACATTTGCAACGGAGAGTGACTGGGAAGCGGCGAGGTACTGGGGCGGATCGGCGCCGTGCCACGGCGGGACCCACGGCCGGGGGCAGCGCCTGCCGCCGCCTCCCCGCTCCCCCCGCGCCCGCTGCCCCCAGACCCAGGGCAGGGGCAGATGTCGGGGCCGTAGCTTCGTTATTCCCCCTTCTCCCTCTTCCTCCTCCCTGCTTCTTCATCCCTGGAGAGCCTCTCGTGTCCCCTCCCGCCGTGCCCAGCCCCTGCCTGCTGAACGGGGTGCGGCGGGGCTGCAGAGCCCTGCGGTGAGGCCCAGCCTTCCTCCTCCTCTCCCCTCCTGGGTCTGACGGCGGTGTTTGCTGTGTGCGCGCGCCTCCAGCCCAGCCTGGGGCTGGTGGGGCTGGCCGAGGACAAAGCCCCAGCTGCTGTGGTCTTGGGGGTCGGTCACCGGGCATTCCCCACTCTCCTGCCCCCTTCTTGGCCCCCATCCCCTCGCTCCCCCCCACCCCCCCAGCAGGGCCCTGCTGGGGACTGTGTACATAGAAAACGCCCAGCAGGGAGGGAGCTGAGGGGTGTGGGGGGTCCAAGGCCAGCAGCCCCCACGTCTCCACCCGGAGTCCCTTGGTGACCTCCGGCTCCCAGTACCTCCTACTTTTGTCTGTTTTTTTTTTTTTTTTTTTTTAATAATATTATTAAAATTGTAAGTTTAAAAAAAAAAATATGGGACAAACCCCCTCTTGCCCTCTCCCCTCCCCCCCCTTCCCTGGCCAGTGCCCCCCTCCCTGCCCTGAGCGCTCTCATCCTGTCCTGACTTTTGTACAGGCTTCTTCTCTTGGGAGTCTCGTTTTATATCCAGTTCGGAGAGCTTCAAACCAAGGAGAGACTTTGCAGACTTCCTTTCTAATCCCTCCAGGGGGTGGGGGGCAGCCCCCACCTCCCTCCTCCATGTAAATCTTGTGTGCTGTTGTCCCTGCTCCTTCCCTCCCCCCCCCCCGGTTCGTGTACCTCGTGCTTGTACATTTCCGCGCTGTAGACAGTGTGTACGATACTGTTCTTTCAATGTGTTATCACTAGAGCAGGTGCCTCCATTGATGTTAGGGGAAACAATGAGAATAATAATAATTTTTTTGGGATTTTTTTTCTTTTTTGGTTTAAAAAAAAAAAAAAAAAAGGAAAAAAAATATTTTCCTTCCAAGGCTTCTTCCAAGGTGAAGATTGAAGGCGAGGGGGAGGGTGTGTGTGTGTTTACTGCCTCCCCCGCATCCTCAGTAGGGTACTGTGGGGTGAGCTGGGGGTCTGGCTGCATGTGTGCCCCCCTGGTATGTCCCCAGCTTGGGAGTGCAGCAGGTGCTGCCCCACAGGGTGGATGGGGCTATGCTGGGTGCAAGAGTGTGTGTGTGTGTGTGAGTGGGGAGAGTGAGTGTGCAAGGGAATGTTTTGGGGGGGTCTGCACTCTGCTCTCTCTGCCAGCACCCTCCCAGCACCGTGCTGGGGGGAGCAACAGCCTGTGAGCCCCACAGGGCTGGGTGGGAGCCGTCAGGGGCTGCCCCATGAACACAGAGGTTCTGGGTGCAGTCCACGTCTCACCCAGGTTGGGGGTGGCTGTGATGGGAGGGACCCTGTGTCCCCCCAGCCCTGCGGAGGGACTGGGAGACGGTGCCTGGGACCCTTGGCTCAGCCCTGACCTGATCCCAAGTCCCAGCACCCAGTGGGGTGTCCCATGCTGACCTCCACTTCCTGGGGGCTGAGGTCTCAGTCCTGCAGATCTCTGCCCCCAAGCTTGGGACCCCAGAGGAGGCTCCCACGGCACCGGGGGGGTTTCTGCTTTGCAGTAAGGTACGATGGGTGCTGGGGTTCCCACAGAGTGGTGATGTGCCCCCTCGCTGCCCACCCTCTCCCCGGGCACACTGAAATGCCTTTTTCTTTTTTTTTCTTTTGCCCCCCCTTTCTCCCCCGTCCTCCATAGTTTGTGCCATTTATGAGTCATGTATGGTACCAATAAAATGACTTTTCGGTTTGAGGCTGTCCTGAGCGCTTATTTCTGAGCCCAGGGCCTGGGGGTGCCGGTGCTGGTGCTAAGGTGCATCCCCAAACCCTCCAGGTTTCGACTCCTGGGCAGCTGCAGTGGGGGGGTGCTTCAGCCATTTCCCCCCCCCCAGCCAGGAGCACCAGAAAGCAGCTTAGGGCTGTTCCTGCACAGGATGTCCGCAGCAGGAAGAGGCTGAGCTGCGAATGCCTCCACACCCTGGGGTAAAGGTAAAGCAGCCGGAAAAAAATCCGCCTTAAAACCTCGGGGGAGTCCCGTGACAGCCCTACGCTGCACGAGCCAAGTTTATGCAGTTTTTCCCTGTTTTTCTTTCCCTTGGTGTATTGCATCCTTTCCTCTCCCAGGGCCCATGCTGTGCTACAGGGGGCAGGGGTTGGGGGGGCAGGAGAGAAGCCACCCAGCTGCCTCTCACCCAGGGCACCAAGAGCTGCCGTGGGGCAGGGGGAAAAGGGCACAGGGTACAGCTCGGGTACAGCTCCCGGCACCTGTCCCAGAGCAAGGCAACTGCATCAGCTCATGCGGTTTGTGGGGCCGGGAAGGTGATGAGAGTTCTGGGAGGGGCAGATATGGGGCGTCGGGATGGGATGGGCAGCGGGGGGGGGGAGCTCCGGGAGTCCATTGGGATCGCGCTTGGGACGCACTGCTGCTGCTGGTGGCCGGGAGCCAGGCGGTGGCCGGGACAGGGTGGGGCGGTGCATTTGCCAGCGCAGAGCTTTTCAGTCCCTGGGCTCAAACTGAAAGGAGCCGCAGAGCCGGGCGTTAGCTGTGCGGCGGGGCACCGCAGGTAAGTGCTTTGTCCCCGCCTGTCTCCCCGACATCCTTCGCTTCCCCCTGGGCACAGCCCGCTGCCCCCACCCCTCCCGTATCCCAACCCCAGGCTGTGGGGTATGGGATTTTTCCCCCACGTTTCCCACTCGGGGATGGGTGGCAGGGTGTGAGGTTTAGCTGTCCTTGTCCCCTCTCTGCTCAGGTGCCACCATGGAGCTGGGGAACATCTCGCAGCCCGTGTACGGCCCCGGCCTCGAGGAGCCGAGCAGCAGCATGCCGGGGCTGCTCCGCATGGCGCACGGCTTCCTGCACCTGGTGCAGCCCCACAGCCTCCCCTTGGGTGCGTGCTGGGGGTTCCAGGACTGCCCGAGTCTTCTGTGGTGGGGTCAGGAGGGTCTCACAATGTGTCACACGGCACAGAGGCAGCCCATAATAGGTCCATAGGAGAAGGTAGGGCAAGACCTGGAAGTGAAGCAAGCATCGCAGAGGGGGACTTTGCCCCCATCCATGCAGAATGCTTTATCCCCATCCCAGGTGTCACGTGCATGCTGCCAGGGTGATGTTAGAGTGTCCCCCCAGAGCCTCCAAAACAGAGAGTTTGGGACTGGTGATGATTTCCCTGGGTGCCAAACGGCTGGGGGGAGACGGCCGGAAGGGAAAAGGTGCCAGGCACGTGCTGCCCAGAGCCGCGGCACTGGGTGGTGCTAGGAGTCCCAAAGCCAGGTTAGGGTTGAATTAGGGCCGGGGTTGAATTAGGGCCAAGGTTGAATTAGGGCCAAGGTTGAAGTTAGGGCTGCGGTTAGGGAGGGTGCCTGCTCACGACCACTTCTGCTCCCCGTCTCCCAGAGCTGATAGCGGATCTGACACAGACGCAGGGCAGGGTGGTGACCGATGAGCAGAAGGAGGAGGTGAGCGTGAAGCCGGGGTGCAGAGCCAGATCCCACCCCGCGGGTTTGCGCAGACCCGGGCCGGCAGCCTCGCGCCTCCTTTCTCCCTCTCACAGCTGCTGCGTTACGAGCTGGGCTTCCTGGTGTGCATCGCCATCGGGCTGCTCTTCGCCGTCGCGGTGCCGCTGGCGGGATGCTGCTTCTGCTGCTGCCGCTGCTGCGGGCGCTGCGGGGGCCGCATGTCCCAGAAGCAGAGCGGGCGGATGCGCAGCCGACGCCGGGCGCTGTACAGCGCTGTGCTGCTGGTGTCGGCGCTCCTGCTGTGAGTGCCGCGGCGGCCGGGAAGGCCTCGCCTGGAAGCTGCCTTCTCTGCGGGAGCGGCTCCGGCGCGGAGGGACAAAGGAGAGGAAGCGGTGGCGGTGGGGAGCGGGACCGTGCGCCAGAGCCCTTCCCGGCAGCCTCGCAGCGGGGCTCCGCGTGCCTCGGTCTCCCCGTAGCGGGAGGGGCGGGGTTGGGCGCGGGGCGCGTCCGCTGCACGTCCTGCCGGGTCCCCCATCGGGGTGCTCAGCAGTGCGTCCTGCACCTGCCTTTGGAGGGTCCGGGAGAGAACGTCGGTGCTCCTCCTGCTGACCCCGCTGCCTTCATCCTACAGGGCCGGCGATGTGTGCGCCTTCATCAGCAACATCCGCTTCTCGCAATCCGTGAGCAGCGCCTTCCCCAACATCAACAGCACCGTGCACGACCTCTGCTCCTACCTGCTCTCCATCCCCCAGGCACGCCCGCATCCCGAGTGGGGCAAGAGGGGAGGGCAGCCCCGGGGCTGGGGGTGGGAGGGGTCCCCAAAGAGTCCCCACCCCACGCTGTACAAGAAAGACAGAGAGCTGTTGGAGAGGGTCCAGAGGAGAGCCACGAAGATGATCAGTGGGCTGGAGCACCTCCCCTACAAAGACAGGCTGAGGGAGCTGGGCTTGTTCAGCCTGGAGAAAAGAAGGCTGCGGAGTGACCTCATTGCAGCCTTTCAGTACCTAAAGGGAGCCTACAGAGGGGAGAGGAATCAACTCTTTGAAAGGGTTGATAACTGCAGGACAAGGGGGAATGGTTTTAAGTTGAGGGAGGGAAGATTTAGGTTGGATGTCAGGGGGAAGTTCTTCACAGAGAGAGTGGTGAGGTGCTGGAACAGGCTGCCCAGAGAGGATGCCCCGTTCCTGGAGGTGTTCAAGGCTAGATTGAATAGGGCTCTGGGCAGCCTGGTCTGGTACTAAATGGGGGGGTTGGTGGCAAGGGGGTTGGAGATTCATGATCCTTGAGGTCCTTTCCAACCCAGGCCATTCTGTGATTCTCTGCCCCTGCAGCAAGTCAGCTTCATCATCGACAGCAGCAGCGTCCCGTTGGGCAGCACCAATGACAGCCTGCAGAGTGAGCATGCACGGTGACGGGGGCACCTTCCTGCTGTTGTGGGGGGGATCTGGGGATTGGGGTGGCTAGGGATGCTGGGCTGGCATGGCCCTATTGCCCAGACTCCAGCACATCGCTGTGGGATGAGGTTTGGTGTGAGAGCAGTTCTTTCAGCAGCTCCCCTGCAAGGCATGGGCTGCTCAGTGCAGCCCAAGGGGGGTCCTGCATTGACCTCCCCCCATCTCCACAGACATTGGGCCCCTCCTCGGCGGCAGGATCACCTCCAGCATCAGGAACTGCACAGACGAGGCGCTGGGATCCCTACAGAGCCTTTTGGGAGGTGATGTCCCAGTGATTCTGAGGATGTGTGGGGGACACCATGGGGATACGAGGGCTGAGGGCTGGGCTGGAGGCACATGTGGTGTTTTGGGAAAGGCCTCTGGGGAGGGGTGTGCCTGTCCATCCCTGGTCTGGCTGGAACGCTGGCACTTTGGGGTGTATTCCTGGATGTCTCTCGCTGCCTCTCCAGCAATGGAAACACTGGCGTCCACCTTCGGCACCATCAACAGCACCCGCTGGCGCCTGGAGGAACTGCAGGGCACCTACGACGGGCAGCTGGGCACGCTGCGGGCACGCATCGACAGCACCCTGAAGCGCTGCGGGCAGCCCTGCAGCACCACCTCATCCAATGGCGTGGCCTTCGTGGCCAACTATAGCACGGTGAGTTCTGGGGGGCCATGGGTGTCCCCCACCTCCCTGCCCAGCCTGCGGCCCCCTCACCCTGAGCTGTGCCTGCAGGTGCCCGGTGTGGAGCGGCAGCTGGAGGCGCTGTGGGATGTGCTGGACAGTGGCATAGAGGGGGATTTGGAGGTGAGGGGGTGCGTTGGGGGAGTGTGAAGGGCTGCATGGAGGGAAGAGCGGGGTGGGTGCCTGAGGCTGGTGGAGTACATAAGTCCTGTGCTGTCTATGAGTGGCTGGGAGGGGGTCGGGAGCTGGATGCTGTCCCTGTGCAGGTGATCAGCGTGCTGGAGCAGGCCCCCAGAAAGGTGCAAGAGCAGTCCCAGAACGTGGTGACATGTAAGTAGGGCCACCATGCTGATGCTTGACCATGGGGACCAAGCATCCCATCCTCTCCTTGGGTTCTCCCGGAAGAGCAGGGTGTGGGTGGTAGCTCCATCAGCGACCCATCCCTGTCCCCATGCCCTGTAGGGACCCAGGAGCAGCTGGGCTACATCAGGCAGGAGATTCGCAGCATGCAGGACGAGCTGCCGCTGCAGAATGTGGAAGAGACAGCTGGGAACCTGGTGAACCAAACCAATGCCGTGCTGGGGGACAACCAGAAGACTATCACTGACCTGGATAGCATCAGGTAGGGGGGCTGCTCCACCTACCTCAGGCATTTCCCTCTTCTTGGGCTCTCAGCCCAAACCGTTGCCATCATCCTGCCCCAGGTGGAGCGTGTGTGCCCTGCTGTGCTGCATGGTGCTGCTGGTAGTCCTGTGCAACACCTGCGGGCTGCTGCTGGGGCCGTTGGGGCACAAGGAGAGCACGCTGCCCACCCAGCGCGGCTGCCTCTCCAACACCGGAGGGAACTTCTTCATGGCGTGAGTGAGGCTCTCGGGCAGGGCTGTGCGTGGGGTGTGCAGGCTGCGCACTCCCCGTGCTGATGGAGCTCTGCTCTGCAGAGGGGTGGGCTTCAGCTTCATCTTCTCTTGGCTGCTGATGCTGCTGGTGCTGCTCACTTTCTTCCTGGGGGGGAACATCTACATGCTGGTCTGTGAGTCCTGGAGCAGCCAGCAGCTCTTCCAGGTGGGCTCCCCCCTCCTCTGCCTTCACCCAGGGCTGGGACAGCTTTGGGGGCTCTCCCTGGTGTCCCACTCTGCACCATGACTGGTTGCTCCATTATTTCCCTGGAACCCAGCTTGTGGATACCCCTGGTCTCATCCCCAGCTTTAACCTTTCGGAGGTGCTGGGTGACGAGAGTGGCACCATCACCTTCTCACAGATCTACAGGTGGGCACAGCTATGGGCAGCGTCCCCAGGGTGGGTCCCCCAGGGTGGGAGCTTGTCCTGGGGTTGTGTGCAGGGAAGGAGCGAGGTGTTCCCTGGGTGAGGACATGCCCTGGGGGAGCACCCGGCTCGATCGCAGCCCTGTGCCCACCCCTCAGAGAATGCCAGCAGGATGCTGCCCTATGGCAGACACTGCGCCTGGACCAGAGGGTGTCCCTGGATGAGCTCCTGGACATCAGCCAGGTGAGCGCCAAGGAGGGACACAACACAGGTGGGGACATGGGGCTGGCACTGTGTCCCGCCCCTCCTCACGGCTCCCCTCACCCTGCAGTACACAGGGAAGATCTCAGCGGCTTTCCAGAAGCTGAACATCACCCTGACCCCCATCTCTGTGCTGAACGAGAGCCAGCGGGAGCTGCTGCTGAATGCCTGCCACGATGCACAGCCCCCCAGCTTCACCCACACCCTGCAGCAGGTGTGGGGCTGTGGTCGGGATGGGGGGTCCGGGTGCTGTCCCCTCTGCTACGGGGTCCCAGCTCCATCCTGCCCCATGGGGACGGGGTGCAGCTCTGCTGTTGTCCTCACCCCCACCCCACCTCAGCACTGTGCCTTTCCCAGCTGGATCAGGGCGTCACGGCGGGCAGCCTGCAGGAGCTGGCCACAGAGCTGGAGCAGTTGGTGGGCAACGCGGTGAGATCCTGTCCCCAGGGCTGAGGGGTGTCCCCTGGCCTAGGAGCCCCTTATGCCCCAGAGCAGGCAAGGGCTGGCAGTGGGGTCCCTCTGTTATCTGGTGGGCACTGCTGAGAGCCTCTCCTGCAGAGTGCAGATGTGCAGAGGGACCTGAAGGCAGATGCTGCTGAGCTGCGGGAGCTGGACAGGGAGCTGAACCACAACTTCTCAGGGCCGCTGGTGAGCGATACTGGGAAGGGGAAGGCGCCCTGCTGGGGCATCGAGTGAGCCATGGGTACACATCCCTGCTTCTCTCTCCACCACCCGCAGAAAACCCTGAAGGAGAACATCCAGCTGGTGCAGAGCCAGGCTGCCCAGCTTGAGGTGAGGCAGACATGGGGCAACCCAGCTCCTACACTCCCTGTTATGGGGCTAAGCCACAGCTTGGGGCACACTGGGGCTGTTAATGGGGCATAGGGCTGCCCCATTCTCTGGCTCAGAGATGCTGCGTCTCAGGGACCGCAGCTGCATGGGGTTGGGGAGATGCAGAGACCCTGCTCTCCCCATCGTGCTGCTGACAGCTCCTTTTGTCTCAGGCACAGACAAACTCCACGTTGGACAAAGCCAGTGCCACAGAGGAGTTCCTGAGAAGGGAGATGGGGAACATAATCAAGAATGTGAGCTCACTTTGCCCTGCTGAGGGGCACATGGGGGGATATGACTGGGTTGGCCTCACTGAGACCCCACCTCACAGGGATACCACATAGTTCCCAGGGGTCCCCTGTGCTTCCACGTGCCCCCATTTCTGGCAAGGGGCCTGGGGGCATAATGCAGACCCTTTGCTGCTGGATCGAGGTGGCATTTTGACTCTGATCCTGGCATGGAGGGGATGTGGGGCACGGTGTGGGCTGGGGGGTACAGCATCCCCATTCTCTGCCTGCCCCCCCCACAGGAGACGTGGGCCTTTCTAGAGGAGCTGCTGGACTTCTTTGAGACCTACATTGCCTGGGCCAAGAGCAGTGTGAGTGAGCCTGACCCAGCCAGGCACGGGGATGGATAGCAGGTTTCGGGGAACCCCAGCATGACCTGTCCCAGCTGTATCCCCAGCTGAGGATGGATGTGGCACGCTGCAAGCCCATAGCCCAGAGCCTGGATAATGTGGAGGCCATCGCCTGTGACCACATCTTGGACTCTATGGTGAGAGGGATAACATGAATATGGGATGGAAAATGATGCTGATGGAGTGGCTGATGACTGTTCCTTGCTCCCAGAACACCTTCTGGTTCAGCCTGGGCTGGTGCACTGTGTTCCTGCTGCCCAGCATCATCCTGGCCGTGCGTCTCGCCAAGTTCTACCGCCGCATGGACATCAACGACGACTACAGGTGAGGATCTGCCCTGCCACAGTGCTGGTCTGGGGTCTGCTCTGCAAACCACCCGTTGGTGGAACTGCAGTGCGGCCGAAGGAGCTGTGTGCTGCTGGAGAAGTGATGCTCAGGAATGTCAAAACTCCATGGGCTGCAGGAGCCCCTATGCTGTGCCCAGATGAGGAGGCTGGAATGGAGGGACTGTCACAGCCTGCAGCACCCACACCTTCCTTGTGTGCCCCGGAACAGCCCCATCCTGCAGTGTGATGCTGGGCTGGGCTCTCAAGAGGTCCTTCTGACCCACTGACGTGATCCCTTCTTTTTCCTTCCCCCTAGGAAAGAAGCTGTGGAGATGTAAGTAGCAGTGCTGGGTCCCTACTTGGGGTAAATCCTGGGGCGTGGGGACAAGGAGAGGAACCTGGAAAGCACAAGCTGAGGGGGGTGCAGGCAGCAAGGTGGGACCTGTGCAGTACTACTGTTTTGGGGTCCCTTTACCACATTCCCCCCTCCTCTTTTTGGGGTGCTGGGCCACAGAGGGACAGCATTCTGCCTTCCCATGGTATTCTTGGCTGTCCCCTGCTGTCTTCTGTGGTTGGCGTGATGCAAACACCCTTGATTTTGCAGAGGGCCTGCATTCAACCTGAACAAAATCCCCCAGCCAGCTACAAGTCATTAGCCTCCATCACAACACGGCACAGGCACTAAGGACGCTGAACATGACAGCTCTGTCTGCTGCATCTTCTCCCTTAGCACTGGGAACAGGCTGGGAGCCCCCTCCCCACTTCCCAATAAGTGGTGAGGTGCTACAGCTGGGAGACAGCCTGCAGGAGAAGGGTGTGTGCCCTTTGCACTGCCCCACGTGGGGCTTTGCTACCCCTCATCACCTGGGGAAGGTGGCAGGGAAGGGGAGGAGTAGCACAGCATCTCCCCACGGTTCATTGCAGCCATGCTGTGGTGTGGGGCTGGGCCAGGACCCCTCCTCCCCCTTGTGTGCACAGGCAGATGCTGCTGGCTGAGGGGAACTTGCTTACCTGCTCCATAACCAATGTGAGTATTTATTTGTGCAGGGAGCCTGACTCTCCAGTGCTGTGATTTTGGATGTAAAACAATAAACGAGGTGATTTTGTGTTGTAGGTATGGGGTAGTTCTATACACTTTTCTCCCCAACCCTTCCATTGTGGTCAGGTGTGCAAAGAGGGGCTCTGGGGCACTTGTTTCCCTGCTGCTGGTGCAAGCTGGGGCTGTGCTTAGAGGGCTCTTGATTGAAAGTGAGCCCTGCCCTGCCAACTGCAGGAATCACAGAATGGTAGGGGTTGGAAGGGACCTCCAGAGATCATCGAGTCCAATCCCCCTGCCAAAGCTTGTTCCCTACACCAGGCAGGAGCTCAGCCTGGAGCCTGAGCCAGTCATGGGACCAAACAGGGGCTGCCTCCTGAGGACCACTGTCAGCAGGGCTAGGTGCTGTCCCAGCATGGTTCAGGACCATCCCTGAGTGCTGCAGGTCAGTGCCCTGATCCTTGGTGATTCTGGTGCTCCCCAGTCTGAAGGTTTCCTCCTGGAAGGGGACTGGGTGGAGGCCCCCATGTGCTGGTGCCCACCCCTTCCTATCCCCTGGAGCTCCTCAGGAGCTGCATGTTGTTATGGGCTGAGCCTGTGCTGGCTGCTGTGCTGCTCCTTGGCTGAAGCTCTGGGACCATTCCAAAGGCTGGGCTGGGAGACGGACACACACAGCCTGACTCATTTCCTTCAATGCAAAGTCCAAGCCTTATCAGAGGGAGCGATGAAGTGGAGCAGGCCAGCTTACGCTCTGCTACGTACATCTGCTTTACCCTTTTGCTTCTGACCTTAGAGAGGCGCCTTTTTCATTCAGGAGCTACCTGAACCTGTGCCAGCCTTACCTCCTGCTATCTCTCCCAGCACGTGTCCCGACCATAAGTGGAACCCCATACCTACCTGTTGCCCTGCGCAACCTTTGCCAACACACGGCAGCATCCCATTCCCTGGGGCTGCAGCTCTGTGAGCAGCCGTGGTTTGTTCCCTCCCTCCTCCTTCCTTCTGCCCAGCCCTGGAGCCCAGGGCAGCATCAGATGGTGTGGCAGCTGCTCAGGGAAGAAGCTAGAGCCGCTCACAGCGGTGCCACCGGGGCCTTGTATGCTATGTTTTCACCTGGCTCCTGTGAGCAGCAGCTGGGAGAAGGCAGCACCCCATGGCTGCAGCGCAAGGCCCAGCCCGAGGCAGGGCTGCCTGGTAACCAGCCCGCCTCCAGGGAACCGTTGCAGAGGTTCCTCTTCCCCATTGCCAGGGTTGTGTTCTTTCTTTTTTTCCACCGCAGGGACTTTCCACAGCTCAGCCCCCATCTGAGGGAGGAACTGGCACATCGCTGTGTTTGGATGCAGCAGGGTCCCTCCAAGGGTGGCTCTGCCACTGCAGGAGGAAGCCACCCTGCTACTGATTTTCCAGCCGGGAACAAAGGGACGGGCCACAGTTTTAGAAAAAATCCCTCCTTTTCCTAACCCCAGCGTGGTGGCCAGCCACAGCTCCCCTGACACCCACCCAGGGGCCTCCAGGGGTGCTCACGGCACCACAAGCCACAGGCTGTGCAGCACAGATGGCCCTCCTTGCTCCCAGCAACGCGTGGCCTTCAGGCTGTGGTCCCACTGGGAGCCAAGCTCAGCTAGCCTACCCACTCAGGCAGGAGTGAAGGCAAACCGCCCTCCTCCCTTGCTTGTACCCTCACAGCATTCACCACTGCCCCAGCACTGCTTTAGGAATCTTTATTTTTAAAATGAGACTGCCTTCTCCACTTGAGCCCGCTCTCAGCAGGAATAACACAGCCGACTTTCCCCACCCGCTCCCAGCCTGGCACAGCACCAGGTGGCTCCACGGCCGGGGGTCCCTTTGCACCACGGCCAGGGGCTCTCTGAGCACTGAGCACAGGTTGGAACCTGCATCTTCCCGCACGGCTGCTCTCACATTACACTGACTTTGCAAACAGAGGCACAATGTGAGCCAGACAACCCTGACAAAGCCCCTTTGTGTGCAAAGGGCGAAGGTAGGAGAGATGGGGATGGAGGGCCCTGGCGTCCTGCGGCATAATCTAAGCTTCCACAAAGGAAAGGGAGAGGCAGGGCCAGCCCCAAGCTTGCCCGGGCTGCTGCCAGCTTCTCAGCTCGAAAGAGAATTTGGGTAGCGGCTGGGATGGAGAGATAAGGGAATTAGGCTGCTCTCCTCAGCTAAGTAGCTGCAATTGGACACAGATGCAGGGCTGCTCCCAGAGGAATTGCAGCGAGACAGAGTGCTGCAGCTGCCAGTGCATGCTGGGGCTCCCAGTGTCACAGAGCTGCACCGTTCTGGCATCTTGCCGAGCTCAGGGCAGCGACTCAATGACCCCACTGCAACAAACAGGCAGAGTCTGGAGGCATCACCCCACTTGCTGAGCACAGAACGGGGAAAAGGCTGTGCTTGCTCCAGAGCACTGCTCCCAGAGGACTGGAAAACTAGAAGTGAAGTTGCGAAGAGTCAAGCAAACCAAAATCAAAGTGTTTTGGGCAGAGAGCAGCTCTGCAGTCCTGTGATGCAGCCAGTGCTTTCATCTACAGATGCACCTCGCATTTGCTCCTCTACAGAGGCACAAACAATTGCACTTGCAAGAAACAACCAGAAAGCCTGCCCTGGCTTCAGGTGAGACACCCAACTCCAGCCCCCACGGACTCGAGGCTTCAAAATGGAGCAGGCTTCCCTGCTGCCAAGCAGGGCATGGCTTCCTGGAGTGGATGTGGTTTTCCCCTTCCCTCACACCCAAGGACTGGGATCCCATTGTGCTTTCCCCTTCACACAGTGTCACCCCGCACCAGTGCTGAGGCAGAAGTCCTTGCCCCGGCCGGCTGAGGAGCATCGCTGCCCGCTGCTTTTGGAGGGTTCTTGTGTTCTCGGGGTGGGGTGGGAGGGGGGAAGGTGGGGCTCTGCAAGGCATCTGAGTACATCTCATCCTGGACGCAGGGACGCTGCATGACCCGCTGCAGCAGCGGCTTGAGCAGGCCCACAGTCAGCTGGTTCCCCTCACTTGAGAAGGGCACCGGGTCCTGCTGGGAGCAAGGGAGGTGCTGCAGGACCACGGTGAGGATGTCTGAAGTGCTGAGCTCAGCAGGGCATAGCAGCCACAGTGTGTCCAGGTAAGGGTCCAGCTCCCGGTGCTGGGCGAACTCTGCTAGCAGCGTGGTGAATATCTCCTTATTAAGCAAAGGACTGAGCTTGGAGAACTTCTCTGCCACCTCCACCACCCGCTGCCACTGCTTCAGGCGGATGAGAAGGTGCAGAGCTTGCAGCACAGCCTTGGGTCTCTTGCTGCAGAGCAGCAGTTCGAGCTCCAACTCATCATCCACCTCACTGTGCTTGCTCTTCCTGGCCAGCACTCCCAGGGCTCTCTTGTACAGTGGCACGCGGCCTTCTGGGCCCTCCTTGCCGCTGTATGGCCAGGAGATGCTCACGTACTGCTGGGTCAGCTCCACAAAGCTGGGCAGCCACTTGGGTTTGAACCTCAGGAAGGAAGCACAGATGAGCTCAAAGAGCGGGACCACCCCATTCTGCCCCACCTCCTCCTGCTGTGGTCCTCCTAGGATCTTCTTCCAAACCTCTGGGGTGGCCCGGGCCACCAAGAGGCCATCCCCGTTCTGCTGTAGCTGCAGGCAGCTCCTGGTGGCTTTCCAGGCAGCCCTGGGGAAGGAGGTAAAGACTGAGTTCAGGTAGGCCAAGTTGTCCTTGTCCATGTCAGAGTGCAGAACACGGCTGACCTCCTGCTCCACCAGTTCCTCACAGTAACTTTCCACCTTGCTCTCCGAGGCACTCACCACACAGGTTTTGAGGAGCTCCAGGCTGAGGTAGCTCTGCAGCTCCAGGCTGATTGTGCTCAGCAGCTTGGCATAAGTGTCTTGGAGGCCTCGGGCTGGCTTCTGCTTTTGGTGAAGGCTGTGCTGCAGGATGGCAGTGAGGGCCACGGGTGCCTGGAAGACTCCACCTTTCTTCAACTTCTCCACCGTCAGCTTGGAGCTGCTGAGACTCCTTCTCTGGTAGTACCTGCAGGCCTCCTCGAATACCATCTCCACCAGGCACGGCTCAGGCCTGCCACTGTCCTCGGGGTTGGAGAAACTAAAGCTGTAGATGCCAGTTGGAGCGAGAAATTGAATGCTATCTTCCTCTTCCGGGGACTCCAGGAAATGCACCTCTTTCATGCTCAGGATTTTCTTTTCTATGACCCTCCCACTGTTCTGGTTGACAAGGTACAGAACTCCAGCCAGCACGCAGGCCAAGATGCTACCGTAGGTCTTCAGCTCAACGGCATCACCTCGGGCCAGAGGCTCCGCTTCCAGGTCAAAAACATGCCTCTGCGTCCCATCTGCCTCTAGCACGTTCACAGCACCCTTCCTGCTCACCAGCAACAGAGCCCCACAACTGGACACGGCACAGGTGTGAATGTCCAGAGGTGCCAAAGCTGAGAGGAGACCCACGGAGCCAAGCAGGAGCTTCCTGAAGTCCGACTCGCTGCTGGAGTGCAGCACCTTGCTGTGGACAAAGCCTGCGGAGGGGGCTGCGATGGTGAGCTTTGCCTGCTCGGGATGCCAGATGAGGAGGAACTTGGAGGCGGTGGCAAAGCTGCCAGAAGCGGGCACCAGGAAGACGTGCCAAGGAGAGGCCAGGACCCGGTACTCGGGGCAGTTGTGCAGGACTATCCTCACAGGGCCCAGCCGCACGCCTTGCTCCCCCAGCTCCAGGGCGCGGGCACAGACGCAGAACCTGAAGGCACATTTGCTGACGTCCGAGCGGGTGTCCAGGGGTGGCCTCTCCTCGCACCACACCAGGCTGGCCGCCTGGCTGCACACGGACACGACACGCGCCCGGGCACCCTGGCACAGCTCCAGCGTCTGCAGCAGCTGCCAACCCTCCGCCGAGCCGAAGCGCCAGAGCTCGGCGCGGCCGTGCTCCCACACGATGCCCAGCGCCCAGCGGCCCGGCGCCGCGGGGCTCTGCGGGAAGACCAGTCCCGCCAGGGCGGGCTGCGGGGGCCGCCAGCTCCTCTCCAGCTCGGCCCCGCCGCCGCCCCGCAGCTGGAAGGCCACCACCTGGGGCAGGGGGGGCGGCCGGTTCTCCTGCAGCACCACGAGGTGCCTCCCGTCGGGGCTGGGCCGGACGCGTCGGGGCTCCTCGCCGTGGCACAGCAGCTCCTGCAGCCTCCGGCCCCGGCTCAGGTCGCTGAAGTCGGAGAGCTGCCGCAGCGTCCCGGACGGCTTCATCTCGGGGGCGCGCCCTGCGCAGCGACAGCGGGCTGAGGTTCAGCCGGCACGGCTCCCGGCCCTCCCGTCACCTTCCGCTCAGCCCCGGGCCTCCGCCTCTCCCCTCGAGGCCCCGCGCGCGGGCCCTACCTGCCCGGCCGGCCGCTCGGCTGGGCTCTGCGCAATCACGAGGCGGCGGCTTCCGGGCGGAGCCGCTCCCCGTCGGGGCTCCGAGCCGGGCCGGGCCGCCCCTCGCCGACTTCCGTCGCCGCTTCAGCGGAGGCTGCGCGACCGCGACCTCCGGGCTCCGCGGGAGGAGCGCGGTGGGACCGCCGGCCCCTCGGCCCGACGCCAGCCCCGCCCGGCCGCCCCCATCGCCGCCGCGGAGAGCGGGGCCGGGAGCGCGGCGGAACGGCGCTGACAGCGGCCGTGCGGGCGGCGCCAGGACCGCGCGGCGCCGGGCCCCTCGGGGCGCATGCGCGGCACTGTGAGCGGCGCACGCGCGTTGCAGAGCGGAGCGGCGGGACCGCAGGTAAGCGGCGGGCGGGGGGGGGGTCGCGGTGTCTGTAGCCCGCGGGTGGGACGGGACGGGACGGGACGGGACGCGTCACACCGCCACGGCCGTCCGACGTCTGATGAGCGGCGGGGACACCTCGGGCCGCCGGGACCGAGGGCGGAGGGGCCCGGCCCTCTTCGGGCCTCTCCGGGGAGTCCGGGTGCAGCCCGGCGAGAGGCCCGAAGAGGGCTCGGTCCCGCGCTCCGGCACGGCGCCGTTTGTCGTGGGCTGCCCTAACAGTGCGTCCTGCTCCGGGCGGCGCGGGCGCGGCAGGCACGGCGGGCGGCGTGCTGCTCGGCCGCGTCGGCTCCTGTAGGAGGGGCGGCGCTTTGAAGGGGAGTGTCGGGAGGTGAGGAAAAGGGAGGTCGGTCGTCCTGTGGTTGTAGCGTGTCTGTATCGAGCGCTTGTGCTGCTCGCGGTGTGCGTCTCCAACTCGTGCCTTTCTGCAGTTCTGCGTTCCTTTCCTTGCGTCCCTCTGCTCTGCGGCGTCTTGGAACGTAGCAGCTTCCTCAGCAGCGGGAGCCGAGGCTGTGCTGCTGTGCTGCTGTGCTGTTCAGCCTGGGCCTTGGAACTGCGCTGACGGCTGAAACTCTGGGGAAAGGGTGGGGGAGCGCTGGGGCACGGTATTTTCTTTCAGAAGGAAGGCATCTGGAAATGTCTTCAGGTGGAGCGAGCTTTTAGCTGTGGGTGTGGAGGCGGCACTGAGTATTTCATGGTGAATTGGGTGGAATGGATCCTGAGAGGCTTGAAAAGTGAAAACTGAAAGAGGCTTTTTCACAGCACAGAGCTAAGCCAGAAACGTGGAGAGAAAGTGTGATGAAATGATAAAGTTAATTTGGAAAAATGGTCTGAACAGATGGAGGTGTGAGCATGTGGGCTTGTCTGGATGGGCTTGACAGGAAGAAGCTCAGCTATGTGATGGCGTGAAGTTGGTGTTATTTCAACTGGACAGATAGAAATGAAAGGCCATTATGAGTGTAACGTCAAAAATGTAACTTGCCTGCAATTCCTTTATATCATTGCTAAGGCAGGTGCAGTGCAAGCTTGTAGCTGTATCTGTGTTAGAAATCACTTTTTCTGTTTTTCAGGGCAAGGAAGATAGGTCAGTAGTGTTGTAGCTGTATGGGTTGTGCTATGTAGAAGCACACACTGCTATTGCTCTGAGCAAGGTGGAGAGGCTGGCTAGTGGAAACACATGCACTGAGACTGTGCTGCTTGGTACTGCCAAAATAAAGAAGTAGGAAATGTGTGGGTTTTAGTTGTCGTAACCTCAGAATATATTTCTTGTTCTGTGTTACATGAAGGTAGTTGGGAATCATGCCAGATTGATCCAAGGCTTCTGTGCTGTGAATGATAGCAGTTCCCTGGTGGGTGTGCTGGGTGCTGTGCTGTTGTAACAAGAAATATGGCCTGAGCTGTTTTCATTCCAATGGACGATATGCAGATACAGCTGTAAGGAATGACGAAGGTCTAAAGTAGCATGGACCTGTTAGCATCGGTTGTAATTGTCAACATGAGAGTTGGCAGACTGTAAGCTGCTAAAGGGCTCATAACAGAAATTTGATTGTGGTGGTTGCTTAAGCCTGGACAAAATGCAGCCCACCACGTCCTTCCCCTCTCTGTTTTCATTAGTGTTCTGCCCAGACTGCTGTTCTGTGGTTCCTGGTGGGGGGTTAGTGCTGGGGCTTGAACTGGGTCAGGGCACTGCCCTGCATTTGGATTTGTAAGCTCATGTGCAGATTGCAGCTTCCTCTGACAGACGAGTGCTGGGACCTGTGATCTTAACTGCCCTGTTGCCTGGGTCCAGTACTGGCCCTGCAGGTTCATCGTGTGTGTTCAGTGCTGGAATTTCGCTGGCGAGTACAAGGACTGGACTACAATCTGTACTCTTTACAAGCAATAGGTCACTTTTAGGCAGAGGTTTATCTGTGGTCTATGCCATTTTTGAAAAACTCTCCTTTAGATTGAAGTGGTGTGCTTGCTAAGTGCCTCAGGAGGCACAGCATGATCCTGCTGGTCCCAGGTGTGTGCAGCTGGGGTCGGGCTGATTACCCAGCTGGAGATCTTCTAAACGAGGGAGACTAATCTTAGTAGCAGCAGCAGCAGCGAGCCAAGGGATTGGATTCAGAAAGGGGCAGTGTCTCGGGTCTTACTCAGAGCTTTCATTAGTATTGATTAACATTGGTTTGAGATTAGCAAACTGATGTGATCGCATCATTTGTACTACCTTTTTCAGGTACAGAATAAATGGTTTGACAATTAAAGGCATACATGAAAATCCCACTTGGTGTTATCCGTTTGTTTTTTATTTAGCCAGATAGTGAAACAGTGTATTTTTGGTCCTTCTAGACTGAAGAAAGCATTCGTCTTTAGTTGTATGCGAATTATGTAACCTTGAAAACATTGAAGTCTGACTAAACCTCAGGCTCAAAATGTCAGGTTTTTCTTTTTAAAATTTTCCTGTGGATGGTCTGACTGAATGCTGACGAGGACACCTTCATCTGAATGTCACGTGTTTGATGTGGATCTCTGGTATGAGTTGTGGAATGGGGTGGTTGGGAGGTGGATGGCTGGATGTGTTCATGCCTTTGTTCCTGGCTGGATCAGCTGATCCTGGGGCTGATGAGAGATAAGGCAGATCTGCCTCAACTTCTGTCTGCCTGCCTTTCATCTTTGAGCTACCAGGATTCCTGCTCTGCTAAGCTTTCTGTTAGCTCCTGATGAACATCTTGGATGCTCTGCAGCACAGCAGCATAGCAGGCTGTAGGAATCTGTGGCGGGTGCTTCTCTCTGCCCTGGGGACGGCTCTGTGCTGTCAGTGACCACGGCAGGATTCACTTAGCAGTGCATGTTAATGGCACTGACCTATTGACAGACTGAATGAGCCGCGTGAACCTGAGATGGGGAGTTGGCACCCGTGCTTTTGAAACGTGGAGTGTTTTAAAGGATAATTATTAATTATATTTGGTGCTTTGAAAAGCTGTCACAATGTCCTGTTAATTTGGCACCTCTGCAACTTAGGAGCGTTTTGTGCGTCTGACTGCTGCTTTCTGCAGTTGCCCAGAAGGTCCCCGTTAGCAAAATGTAGTTTCCTGTTTCTGTCCTTGACATCTAGAAAACATAATTGCATGAAGCGAAAAGAAAAAACCATTTGTACAGCCTGATCATCATAGGTCATGAAACAAGCAAAGCCTAATAGAGCACTGGCATGAAAGGCGGCTTTTGCTTTTCCCCCTTTGTTCTTCCATGTGCTCATTTGCAGAGCAGCGAATCATAAGCAAGAGCATTATTTAATCCTTACCTCTAGCAGTCATCTTTGTCTGTACTGCGTGCAGCCCTGCTTGAGAGAATGTGAGCCCAAGTCTCGTTTTGACAGAGATGAGAATGTTCACTTGCTCACGCCATCCCTCTGGTGCTCGCTGAGCATCGAGCAATTTGTGCCTTGCAGGATTTTGGCCTCTCCATCTTTCTGGAGAGTGTGGGAAAAGTGCTAAAATGTAGTGCTGGACATCCAGGGGCTGGGCAGCGCGTTGATCCCCTCCATGCACAGATGTGTTTGGTGTGAGAGTGCTGGCCTCGAAGCGCCGTGAGTTAGTTTATTAGTTTGGACACTGGGATTCGTTAGCTGAGATTCAATTAGAAGCACGCTGATGGATGTGTTGGTGTGCTGGGCATGGCGGCTGCTTGAGATTCAGAACCTCACAATTCCAGTCGGGAAATTGTTTTGTTCGGTCTTGGGTATGGTTTATATTGCTGGGCTAAAAGTGACTTTGCTCTTGATTTGGTTTTTAATAGGTTTCTCTCTGTTTCCAGTTATGGTTCTAATTAGGGTAATGTCTCGTTTCCCATGACAGTTCAAAAATAGTGCAGACTGTAGAAGAGAAGCTGTCAAGATGATTGAGTAATGTTTTCTTTCTCGTTTGTTGGTTTGCAACCTTTTCTCCACCTTAATTGGCCATGTAGGCCTAGTACACGACAGCAGTGGTGTCTGTCTGCATAGGTTACAGAGCGCCAGGTCCTACGTGTTCTATCAGTGTTTCCAGGGCTGTTTCTGTTCTCACCTGCCGTGTACAAACAAACTGGCTCTCAACCAGCCAGCTGTCCATATTCCCATCCTAGCTGGAAGAAGCAGCACCTTGCCCCACCTCTACCTGAATCTCAGTTTTTCAGGTGCGAGATCTACCCTTCTCTGTCCTGCCCACTGCTTTCCCGTTGTGACAGACCTCCTGCCCTCACACCTGGAGAAGGGCAGCAGCATTTTCTCCAGCCCCAAAGATTTCCTGCCATTTGGAACTGAGGTTTATGGCACAAGGGATGGATATCTGAGTAACCTGTAGCAGACTTTGGGAGCCTGGGAGCCCTAGTTGGAGCTGTAGTCGGAGATGATCCAAAGCTGTCTGCAATGGCAAGAATGCAGAACAGATCTGGAATGGGTGTTGGGTAGTTGCTAGAAGTTGCTCTTTGGGAAAAGGATGGATCTGAGTGTGCCACAGTTGTGGAATGTGTTCAGGCAGTCGGGTGGAGACTGAATCCAAACCTGTCTCTATGGCTGCCGACTCAGAAAGCCGTGGGGTCCCAGAGGCAGCCTGCAGTGCTCTGACCTCGCTGTGCGTAATTCAGCGTGGCTGAGTGCAGCTGCCACCACGGCCTGCCTGCAGTTTGTTTTTTCTTTTGGAGCATGAGTCCAGTTGGGCTTTTGCCTGAGGTGTGCTGCTTCCGTGTGTGTAGTTATCTCTGGAGGTATTGGTTAGGAGGGTTTGGAGCTTGGAGATA